TTTTTAGTGAACTGAATACCTTGATCTGAATGTATTGTTAAATGAGATGAGTTTTGGGGTTCCTTCGCGTCCTGGAACTGAGAATGATTTGTATTTTCGTTGGTTATCTTGTCTGCCTGTTTTCTTACTCCATACTTGGTAGACTTCAAACCTTTGTAAAAGAAAGGAAAATTGAACAGTATTAGTCAAACATTCGGCAGTTAAATTACCAACATCAGCACCACCAATAACAAATAAATTATGCAATGAAAATGACTAGATCAACAAAAGTTAATGATGCTTCGTTAATTCTACCAAATGCTACTTACAGGTATGTGAATCAGGCTTGCACCAAGCCCATTGCATTGTGGATTTGTTGCATATTCCCGTTTCGCTTGACCGCTGACCAGGGCATATTCTTCGCCGTATTTTTATATCCTTCGCGCCGCATTCATTCGGACAAGGAGACCATTTTCCCCACTGTAGGCTGGACTCTTGATCCTCGTTAGCTGTGGCAACATTATGCAGCATTTCGTTTGCTGCAGTTGTTACAATTTGAAGTGTTGATGAACGATTTGCTAGTGATGCAAATAATAGTGTTTAAGTTGCTAGCCTGCATTATGATAATCTCGTGTAAAGTTTAGCTCAATTTTAAAGACAAAGAACCTGGTAAAAAGTGTCATACTTGAAGGTGCGCAATAAAGAATATTGGATAGTAAACTAACGTTTTTAATGATCGCACCCCTAGATATAGATATAAGACCTAGTACATGATTTTGAGCAAACTGCTGAGGGGCGCAGGTCTGTTCTCGAAATAAACTTGTAGTGACAAATGTGTCTTTTTYGAGCAGATCTCCTTTCACATTTCGATTTTTGTTTTCCTCTACGAGGATTTTTGACTTCGTGGAGAGGTTCATGTGCACATTGTACTATCCGTGTCTGCGACCATCCTACTTACTGAAAAGTGTTATTTATTTCTAGTTTCAAGTGATATGGATATTTTACCTTTTGGGCAGACCATTGCTTTTATACACGGCTTCCAATCAACCATTTTTCCATCGCAAGTGATTCCTGTATTCTCACTATTACACTTGCGCGTGCGAATTCGCAGAGCATTTGTCCCACATGTGGCAGAGCAAGTCGACCAAAGGCTCCAATTTGACATCTCTGATGAATTGGAAAAGCTATCTTTATTTTGCTTTCCGACTGTCTCATTATTAATTCTTTTTGYTTTAGGCAATTGCACGAGCTTGCCACTGTACCRCGTYTCTGTYTTCTCAGTAGTGGACTTTGAKGATGGTTGGTCTACATTGGCGGTCCTTATTTCAGCATAGTTTTGTGCATCGTCTTCAACATCAATTTCTCTATGTTGACTTATTTGGTTGCTAAAATGTTTCTTCGTCATTTTATGATTATCTTTGGAAGGTTTAACAATTTCTTTGACGGGTAAAAATAAGGTAGAAGAAAGTATTTTGGTTGAATTGTCTTCTGGTTTTCTTTCATCTTCTAAGGACTTGACATCATTTTGGGCATTACTAGCAACAGTAATTACCTTTGTAATGTTTCCAGGCTTCAATGAATAATGTTCTTGTGGACTCACCGTTGTTGCTAGACTAGTAATGTTTGGTAATTTGTCATATTCATCAGTCAAGTTAWGAAACCATTTCGTTGAAAAAATTTTGTCAAGAATGCTGTCCAAATCTTTGCCTTTTTKACTAGTAGTTTCATTAATTTTATCATCAAGAAACACCTCATTTACATAGGTAACTTTTCCGGCAGTAAAGTTCTTATTTTGTTCATTGTCCATTAAAAGCCCATCCGTTGGGATTTTCTGCAATTTCTTATCATTTATCTTTTGTGCTTGTTTTGATGGGATTATGTTATTATGAATATTTTTGTCATTTTGAATGCTTTCTCCRCTRWTGTATTTCAAAGGAATTTGCACAGATCCAGACACTTCACCAAGTTTATTCRCGCTCCCTGCATTATCTGATGTAAGAGCTACTTCGCTAGAGTTATGTCCAATTGACTGATTAAGAGCTTTTAAACTTTTCGATGATTTTTGACTAGTAATGGGCTTTTCAATAACTGTGTTAAAACCATTCAACGAATTGATTTTAAGAGTGTTAGTCGCATGGMGTTCAGAAGATTTCATTTTGCTTATTTTATCAACACGATTCGCAATTGGAGCTTTTTTAATACCGGGATTGCGAGGATTTGGTTTACTGTCCTCTGCTTTGGGTCGAGTAGTACGCATTTTTCCTTCGTTAACATCCAGTTGACTTATGTCGTTGCTAAAAAGCGACTTCTTTGATTCGAGATCATCTTTAGAAATTTTTATGAAATTTTCTTTGACGGGCAACACTATACTTAGGGTAGATTTCYCTCTTTCAGTCGACTTTGCATCATTTCTTAGAGCCGTATCTACGTAGAAATCCTTTTTCATGTTTCCAAGTCTAATTCCATTATATTTATAATGATTTGATAACTTTTCGCTGTGATCACTCTTGGGAAGATTTTTCGCTTTATCCTGAGTAGTCGTTTCGTGGGAGGACAATGGTTTCTCATGAATAATGTTGTAATCTTTGGCTTTTTCATTGGTAGTTTCACCATCATCGTCATCATACACCTCAGTCATTGACTCCTCACTGTTAAGCTTTTCGATTTTGTCTCGTTTATGTCCGTTTGCGTGACGGTATTGCTGCTTCCATTTGTTTTTACTAATTTCTTCAGAAACGAAATTAAACAAGATTAAAGATTAATAAATGATAAGAACCCGACATCAAAGAAAAGAGAAAGAGCACAAATACAATTCACTCATAGACATTATAGAAACTTCATTGTTATTCGTATANATTTGGTTGCTAAAATGTTTCTTCGTCATTTTATGATTATCTTTGGAAGGTTTAACAATTTCTTTGACGGGTAAAAATAAGGTAGAAGAAAGTATTTTGGTTGAATTGTCTTCTGGTTTTCTTTCATCTTCTAAGGACTTGACATCATTTTGGGCATTACTAGCAACAGTAATTACCTTTGTAATGTTTCCAGGCTTCAATGAATAATGTTCTTGTGGACTCACCGTTGTTGCTAGACTAGTAATGTTTGGTAATTTGTCATATTCATCAGTCAAGTTAAGAAACCATTTCGTTGAAAAAATTTTGTCAAGAATGCTGTCCAAATCTTTGCCTTTTTTACTAGTAGTTTCATTAATTTTATCATCAAGAAACACCTCATTTACATAGGTAACTTTTCCGGCAGTAAAGTTCTTATTTTGTTCATTGTCCATTAAAAGCCCATCCGTTGGGATTTTCTGCAATTTCTTATCATTTATCTTTTGTGCTTGTTTTGATGGGATTATGTTATTATGAATATTTTTGTCATTTTGAATGCTTTCTCCRCTRWTGTATTTCAAAGGAATTTGCACAGATCCAGACACTTCACCAAGTTTATTCRCGCTCCCTGCATTATCTGATGTAAGAGCTACTTCGCTAGAGTTATGTCCAATTGACTGATTAAGAGCTTTTAAACTTTTCGATGATTTTTGACTAGTAATGGGCTTTTCAATAACTGTGTTAAAACCATTCAACGAATTGATTTTAAGAGTGTTAGTCGCATGGMGTTCAGAAGATTTCATTTTGCTTATTTTATCAACACGATTCGCAATTGGAGCTTTTTTAATACCGGGATTGCGAGGATTTGGTTTACTGTCCTCTGCTTTGGGTCGAGTAGTACGCATTTTTCCTTCGTTAACATCCAGTTGACTTATGTCGTTGCTAAAAAGCGACTTCTTTGATTCGAGATCATCTTTAGAAATTTTTATGAAATTTTCTTTGACGGGCAACACTATACTTAGGGTAGATTTCYCTCTTTCAGTCGACTTTGCATCATTTCTTAGAGCCGTATCTACGTAGAAATCCTTTTTCATGTTTCCAAGTCTAATTCCATTATATTTATAATGATTTGATAACTTTTCGCTGTGATCACTCTTGGGAAGATTTTTCGCTTTATCCTGAGTAGTCGTTTCGTGGGAGGACAATGGTTTCTCATGAATAATGTTGTAATCTTTGGCTTTTTCATTGGTAGTTTCACCATCATCGTCATCATACACCTCAGTCATTGACTCCTCACTGTTAAGCTTTTCGATTTTGTCTCGTTTATGTCCGTTTGCGTGACGGTATTGCTGCTTCCATTTGTTTTTACTAATTTCTTCAGAAACGAAATTAAACAAGATTAAAGATTAATAAATGATAAGAACCCGACATCAAAGAAAAGAGAAAGAGCACAAATACAATTCACTCATAGACATTATAGAAACTTCATTGTTATTCGTATAGAGCGGATTTCGTATGAGTGGGAAACGGACGGTACTGTACTGTGTCCGTAATCGTACTGTAACCAAATTCTAGTGCCCCATTGTTTCACCAAAATTCTGCAGGCCAGGTGCGGTAACTGTGCGGTAACCGTGCGGTAACGGTGTCCCACTATACGAAATCCGCTCTAAACTACTTCAGTAAGTGCTAGCTCTATCATTAGCCCGGCTTGGATCTATTTCAGGTATTCCCCCAAACTCAGTAATAGCCTCCCTGCAGAATTTTTAAATAAAGTAATTTATGGAAAATTTTGTAGGATTCATTTTTTACATATCAGCAAGATTTATTAATATTATTATTATTATTATTGGAACAATTTTTTGGTAAAATATTTCATAGATCATGTTATATTGTTCTACTTTACAGACGAATGCATTACAAATGTTTTGGTCAAAAATGTTAATTGTCTGGACTAACTGATCATATTTTTTTACGAGTTTTCAACGTTTGCACGMTACTTACTCTATCCCTTTCACTGCTCTATTTTATACTTAAAAAATAATAATCAAATATAGTGATTATGTTCTAAATAATACAATTATATATACAATAATATTTTCTGCACATCGTGATAGCACCTTTTATTTTGAAAAATTTTCCTTGTTCTGTTGTTAGACATATGAAAAGGAGAAAGATTTAGGGTCTGTTCATCTTAATTAAAGRCTTTAGATAATCATTTAATCCAATGAACGCCAACAGAGCCAAGACTATGTCTATGGCTTAATGACCTTATTCATTTGAAGAAGGAACTTCACACGGTTCTTCAACAACTGTTGCATTACCTGTTAAAGCCTCCTTGTGTTTAAGGACCTTTCCTTGTGCGACCAGCCAGAGACAAACCGAAGCGTAGAAAATGCAACAAAAACCGATGTTCATTTTTATATCATTAGGATGGTTTGCTTGTAATCGTTTCCTTTTTGTAAACTGGTTAGTGCATACATTTGCCAAACTTTGGTCTATAAAATGGTTAACAGGTGACACCTGCCTTAGTGTCATTTACTATTCTCTGGGTCAATTCACTTTCCTTAGTAGTGAATTTCAAATTAAAAGCAATCATTCAATCCGACTCTATATTGAGTGGAACATGGCCGGAAAATCGGGACATTTGAGCCCGCAATCGCAGCGGTACTTCGCATAAATGCATAAAAACATGTTTGTAAATTTTACAAAGAAATGTATGGATCAAAAAATATTTGAGAATAACATTTCATCTGTTTTAATTGGAAAGATTCCATAGATGAATTCGTAAAGGGAAACTATTCTTGATTCCACTGTAGGAAATCCAAATAAATCCAATATTGTTAACAGCGTCCTTTTTGACAATATATTTTCCTTTCGTCTCCCTTTGGCCTTGTATCTCATGGTGAAAATTCGCTAAGAAGCGAAATTTCACCATATCTGATCGTGTTCCTTTACATGTCACTGATATTCCATAGATCATTTCTCAAAGTCCACATATTGAGGTAGGAACACAGCGATTTTCAGCTATTTTGAAGACGATCAACAGCGTCCTTTTTGGTACTAGAAATCGTACAATTTGAAAACACTAACTTGAGGGTGAAATGGCTAGCGAAGACGCGTGTTTCACGCGAATACTTGGCCTAATCTTCCATTTTCTTTCCATTTTATTCTCCATGTTTGGTACCAAAATAAACCTTAGAAACGTGGCTTTCAGACTGGGACTGCTTTAATTTTGGTGGTTTTGACTGGCGCCTTGCGCGCACTGGTAAATAGCGCAGATAGCGGGAAATACGAACGAAAGATAGGCCAATCAAGTCTAGTGTAAACAATGTCAGACTTTTAAATTCCTTAGAAATGTACAAGTATAAACAAAAGATCACAATATCAACTGATGATCATTGTTTARAATACCTGAGGGAAACGTGTGTTCCAGCAAATAATATTATTTACACGGCTATGAACATTCCAAACGAGCACCTCACAAGGCACTAATGAACTCAACGATCAGGGCGTGCTATCCCAATACTCGTTTGTCGATGTTTTGAACGTTTCGATTTTAGCCCAGTATTATATTAAGATAAAGGATCGTTACATAAGAGTAGAAAATTTGATCTTCAAACCTCAAGGGAACTTGTAGAAAGCTGTATTTTGGTGGGAAAACCCGCTGACTCGTCCCGGGCTCAAATGTCCGGAATTTCTGGCCATGTTTCAAGTAGAGCAATGTASAAAAAAATACAAACAGAAGGAAACTAAAATCGATCGCTTGCATGTTTAWTTTATTGCTCGCTAAGCAGATATATCATTACTGAAATATTTGCCAGCATTAGAAATCAGTTATTCAACAGATTCGGACGGATTCGTTCACAAAATGTTCTCGTGCATGTGAATTTTGCATAGAAGTGTGTTAGGATATACAATAGTTCTATAATGCAACAATAGTACATCAAACGAATAGGATCTTTCAATAGCCAAGTTTACAGTAGTGGCCGGAGGAAAACTTTATATGAGGTAAGCCCAGACTTTTGAGTTGTAAGTAATATAGTGGGAACACTATATTTTTTCTGTTCTTGCTTCGTTGTCACGGTTATTTCACTTWAGCTTTAAAAKTAGTTGTACAATCAGAGAAAATACCAAGACAAGAAGAGTTAGTCCAGCAAATAAGAGGTATGTGTATGTCTGACCAAAATAATCCATAACGACTCCAGTCACTATAGGACCCACTCCCTGGCCAACACCACCGTAAAGAAATTGAAGAACTCCTGCAAAGTGAAGAATTTCAGCATTTTAATGTTTCTAAGACGCAATAAAGCACAACTGAAAACGTATGCCGGTTTATGCTAAGAATCTCAATTTATTATTTAGAAAATTTACAGTAAACTGTGAGTTTTATTGTCTTTAGTGAGGTAGAYCTGTTAAGAATTTGCACCCACGTACTGCAGCCGCAGAATGCTTTTTCTAGTCTCTGAAATATAGTAAAATATACGGATATTGCCAAACGTCAGACATGTCTTCAGTGAGCACAAATATAAGAAAGTGCTACCCTGGACTAACACAGGTCCGTTGTAGCAGAACCAGAAGACCGGACATACGTAAAATGCTATCGAGAACAAGGGACCTTAGAATTGGCAGCTATGTAMGAATTTTTAATACATCCGTTACTGCCCTACATGCCAGTATAGTCTTTATGACCAGTRAGTAGATATCCAAAAAAAGGGCGGGGTTCCTCGTCAAACGCCTTTTAGGGTTTCAAATCAGTGTTTCGGTCCCTGTTAGGGTGATAATGACGAGAATTCCCACCAACTTAGTTTTGTGGTTCCTTTTATAGGGTATACGACTACCCTAAGCCGTCATTATAAGATCAACAACAACCATAACTGCTAATTAGATGATTGATCTCAATACAAGCCGACGGCGTTTAATGTGTGTGCAAAAACACAAAAAAGTCGGGAAACCAAAACAAAGACCTGTTATTGATTGGTCCCTCTTAGGGGTGAAGGTTCAGCACTGCCACGCCCAACATCTCACAATATAGGTTTTCAGAATTTCCGACGAGGACCCSCGCCCTTTTTTATTAGGAAGTAACATGAATTTCTTTCTTGAAAGTGAAAAATATAATGTAGATAATGCCTACCTTGTGCAGTTCCTGACCAACTGTTAGGAGCAGTTTCCCCAACATACATCACACATGCAGCCATTGATAAAGCTAATGCAATATAAACGAGAACCTCTGGAAGAATAGCAAGCCAAGGATTTCTAAAAAATGCCATGATGGCAAATGATACTAAATAAGTACTAATGGACAKATTGATGACATTTCGAGCGCTAATTGTTTGAAGAAGTATTGTGGAGATATAGTAGGCTAAAATAGAAAAGAAGTTACGACAGAAATTAGCTACACCAACAGAAAGAGATGCTTGTGATGGGTCAAGATCAATCATGGTCCAAAACAGGAATGTCTGGATAGAGCTTAAAAAGACCCCCAAAAAGAAAGCATCYACCAGAATACTCCAGTTAGCTAAAGGTAAAAAAAATTCTTTGAGAAATTCTYGGGTTGTTATTTTGTCTTTTTCATYGCAAGTACGCTCGGTGATCCGGTTAGAAGAAGGCATCTTCACTTTCAATCCGACCAAAAAAGCTACGACCATCCCTCCAGACATTATATATAGAGATATCAAATAATTGTCAATCAAAATACCGCAGATCTTAATTTTTTGAAAATAGACGAAGATAGCCACTGTAGGGACAAGTACAATCTGGCCAATGTCGCCCCAAAGGCGAACCTTTCCATACTGCTCTTTTTCGTTTTCGAGCAGATGCATAATGGCGGTGTCCGACAAATTGAGAGCTGGCCCACTAATGAAATCTCCTACAATAATTATTAATAGAAAAGCACCACATAGCCTCGCCATACCGCCATCAACTGTCAMGTTGTAAAATGATTTTGTATCAAATAAACTGAGAGATGTAGAAATGCGTGCTGCTGGTCTATTTGACTTTGACTGATGCGGGTATAAGTTGTATGGATTCAGATGTGCATTTTCTTGTTTCTTGTCCTTGTAGGTTTCATTGATTCGTTGTATAGTTTCTGTCTCTTTAGTCGTTTGCCTTTCGTGATTTTTCAGGAATCGAAGTRGAAAATCAAACTTCTTTCGATATGATAAGACAGATGAGTTATGATTTAGAGCATAGTATGAGGTTGTCTTCTTCCTTGACATTGATCTTTCACGTTGGTCTGTCTTCGATGGCAGACCATTTTCAGAACTCTGGTTTGTGTTATTGCCATTACTGTATATTTGTATAGATAGCTGCGATAACCTGGGAGAATGATGCATGCAATGTTGTTCTTTTGGTTGTGGTAATGTCAGTAAAAACGGCGTGGCAGCACATGCAAACACCGATGTCAAGAAAATGACTTTGCGTAAATTTGCTCTGTCTGCAATATAACCAAAGATAAAAGCCCCGAATGCTTTAGCTATAGGTGAAGCTCCTTGGAGGATACCAGTTTGGGAGGACGACAGACCCAGCTGTTTGAAGTAAACAGAGCTGAATATTATCCTTAAGACATAAGAACTAGCGAAGAAGAATAGAAATGCTTTATTGATGGTGAGACTTGTATTCTTGCTGCCTTGCATGTTTACAGGATCACTAGCTTAGGTGTCCTTTATTGTCTAAAACAAAATGCAAAAAATGTAGTTCAGTGTATTGGATATACATAAAAATTAAAATTAACAACATTTCCTTTTCCCTCCAAAAGCTAGACTACCAGAAAGCAAACTTCAAAAGATAGTCTATCAAATCCGTTTGATTTTTTGTTATATGGAGCTTTGTTTAGTTTTGACCTTGACAAAAAGTGACCATTTTGTATCTTTTTGAATCGATGATTGCTTTGTTTTTCTTCGGAGTAGCTGAACGTTCAACTGCTGTTTTAAAAAGATAAAAGGTGACAAAAACCTGCTTATTTGCGTAATTTCTCATTTCTCAGCGTGTCAACAATGGCCGCCTTTTGATATGATTACCTGCTTTGCAGTAGTTATTTATAACAATTTGCAAGATTTTAATAAATTAGAGCAACTATGACTTTTCCCTCGAGTTCTGGATAACATGTTGTCTTATTTTCAGCCACCGATTTCAGTTAGATTGTATCTGAAATGTCAGTAAAGTTTATTAACAAACAGCAGTTTTTAACAACTCACGCAACATTGTTATCCAAAGTTGTCAGTTGCAACTCTATGTTTTAATTACTAATGTGTAAAACAATTTAGTTTCTCTTTTTAAAATCCGCCATATTCAGTGGTCATCAAAACGTGCTACCATTGATAACAATACAATTGCCATATTTGGTATTACTGTAGGTGAGAACCCTTAACAATAGGCCATTTGCTGATACTAWAATCGTCCAGAGTACAAAGAATACAATCATAGTGTGATCCTTTGACCACCTGTTTTCATGCTGTCACTAAAGAACTAAATTTATTAACTTTGCAACAGAAAAGTTTCGGAAATTCTTTGCTGCAGCKTCAACCGCTGACATTCATTTGCAAACGCACGCGTTTGCCTAGTCTCGTCACCTAGCGACCCGAAAATATTTGCTACAGACCAGGATGCTTCGAGAAATAACAACAATTCTTTCGTAAAAAAATAAACATTGGAATGATTCTTTTTCYTAAAGCTATCAATCAGACAAAAGAATCCCATGTTGTAAGATTTGTGATCTATTAAAACTCATTTGAATCATGAGAAGATTCCTTTTTCAGACTCATGTGTGATGTAATTCCCGCTACAGCGAGTTGGTATATTGCATAAGCATTTGGTGTCGTAAAAATTAACACTGAAATTGCGTGTGCGTTTTGCATGCTAAATAGTCGATTATTAATACTGCGYTAATCTCCTTCATTCGTTAGTGGCATTCAGACTTTAATCCTATAATGAGTTGTCTATCTTCACTGCAAACCTTACTGTATAACTAGAATTATGCATGAATGACTATAGGTAACTTACGCTTTAGTCGTCTTCTCAGTAAATTCTGTATGAGGTAAGCTTGATGTTGTCCATTTAGATCCATAAAAAATGATAGTTTGTTTTCGATGGTTCTCTCTGCGCCCATACATTGAATGGTATCATGTTATAAAGTCTTGTTTCTTGGACCAGTTACTACCAGCTATAAATGACAATGGCAGCTCTTGAAGTCACTCGCTTGAACGGATAAACAAAATTCTACASCGTTTGATTGGTTATCCATACCCGTATATTGGATTTCCGCGAAAAAAAATAAAAACACAAAAGAAATACATTAATAACTGCAAAATCTGTACAAAATTCAATATTTAGGTGAAATTAACGCCGTTTCAGTGCAATAGACAGGTATAGATGTACGCACAAACACAAGAAACGAGCGTCATTATTTATCATTGTTTAATTGGAAAGTTATCAATCGTCGTCCTCTGTCAATTTAATGTTTCTTAAGTGAGTCAAAAGGCTTTTGATGCATGGTAGCGACCATCTTTTATGATGTTTAGTACGAAAATGCTGCGCTTGTAATGTTTGTGTTCAAATGCAACGTTTTCATTATAACTAGCAAAAATATAGGTACGTATAATTATCAAGGTCGCCGCGTTTTAGAATTTTTTTATAATCTGGAAATTATTTTCGTTGTTTAAGTAGAGGATTTCTCGAAATAAAAGAATACATGTCATAGATGACAGCACTTCAGTAATTGGACATTTTCTTACTTCTTTTTAAATTAAAAAAGAATATTTCTCAATCCCCAAGTTACTTCCGGTTTGTGTCTTAAACANGTTTCACAATTAGGTGATCACGTTAATAATCCATTACAAGAACATCTTTAGTAGTTATTCTATATTTTTCTAACAATGACCAGATTTTTATCATTATTCTTTCAAAATGCTCAAAGATTATCTCGATTTAGCAGGCAAATTATAATTCACGCGTGGAAGATTAGCCGGCTGCAGCGAGACAAAGAGAACGCTGATGATCACAGCTGACAATAACCACCATTTGAGCATATTAACACTAAAAAATACCAATTAACTAAGAACTAAAAAGTATCATTCCTAAATATGAACATTCTTGTTTTTAGATATTGAAATTGACGTTAAACTGCGTAAACTCGTACTTTTTAGCTCTTTTGTATAACGCGGAATCTGTGCATCTATTTGAGTATAAACGCCATATAAATGGACTTTTTTTAAAATTATTTACAGCTGATTAAATCGCTACTAAAGTTCATTTGTACTATAAAGTAGACAGTATTATTTCTTTTCGTACGTTGAATTGATACAGAAAACCGTATGCAAATATAATTGTAACTATTGTACAAAGCACTTGGCGTTTCTGATAAAAGCTTTGAAAATCTCGCGGCGTTGCACATACATACCAAGTCATCTCAATTTGTACTAAACAAGAGCTTGTCTACCCGTAGCTACATGAAAACAGACTGTTATCTTAAAGTTGTATGATATGGTTATATATGTCCTGTCGACACTCCAAGTTGCTTCATTGCTTCGGCCT